TACAGTCTATGATCAGCACATATAAAAACACCTTATGCGTACCTGTTAATTTAGTTGAAAAGTGGCATCCCCATTGGCAGAGGATCCCGTGGACTTCAGTGTGCAGTTAGAGGTCAGCGTATTTAGAGGCAGTTGAAACCCTTTTCTTTCGTCGATGAGCATAGATATTAGATTCTCAGTCGAGGGAACACCAATCTCTCTTGCTTTATCTTTTGCCTGCTACCTGAGAGCAAGTCGTCTTATTCTTCTTTAGGCCTTTGTGTAGCCATATAATCCTACAACAGAGGCTGATTAAAGCACTACAGCCTCGTACTTGTTGACCTGATGTAAGATCTGCAGTAAGCCTACTTACCGCTTTGAATGATGCTTTTATATTTGTTCTTTTCTTGCTGCTAGAGAGTTTCACACTGCCGGGGTTGTAGCTGAAAGACAAAAAGCTGAAGCTGTCTTACATGCTATGAAACAAGACTGCATCTAAGCAGAACATTTAATTAATGCACAATCATAATTATAGTCAGATCTACTCGTGCCTTAATGATGGTGTAGTGATATTGATATCAGGCACTCACACAGTCAGCGCTTTCCTCTTTTTGCCAGTTTTTTCTTTCTGGCTTCGGCTGCAGCAACTGTTATTTTATTTTATTTTTTTTTCACATGACTCATATTTGTTCAGGATTGCAGTTTGTTCTGCTCGTGAGAAATATTCGGCTCTAGACCTGTTTGTCATCTGGCGCCAACACCTCCACTTTTATGCGCTCATAGCTAGATTCAGAAACTTGACTTAACGAGTCGATAACCAGCTTCGAGCGACGGATTCGCGTGACTGTGGTTGTTGGGCTTCTAAACCAGATAATAAAAAGATGTCAGATGGTGAACTGGCTTCGTTGGTTCCCCCTCAGCCTTACTATGTTCAGGTTTAAAACTGCCAGAAGTCTGGTCACAGTGCTGTCGTTGGTTTGTGGCTCTGATCGATGTTTTCATGTTTAAGTCAGTAGCAGCTCAGCCGAAATGATGAGAAGCCTGGACTGATGGTTGAACACTTTTTAATCTCTCCTCCTTTTCTCCTATGACCAACATAAGAGCTAGACAAAAACACATAACATCAACACATTGAATTTAGCTAGGCACATTGCTAGAATTAGCCCACGCTAAACATAAAATAAACTGACAATTAGACACAATTGATTTACCTTGTTGCCCTCTCGACTGCTGCTAAATTCAATAATCTCTCCGGTTCGCCCTTTTATGTTTTTTGTCTCTTAAATTTATGTTACTTGTCAGTTTCCTTTTTTTTTCTCCATCTGATGTCCCTTCAAAATAAAAGCACTTCCGTTTTAAATAACATAAAACATTGATAAATGACAGATTTAAGTTAACACATTAACTAATGAATTGAAATAATAATAACAAGATTCAATAACTATTGAATAAGCAACCTTTGAGTTACTTACACAGTCCTTTGCTTATCGTTTTAATGTCCTGAAGAGAAATGATTGTAGGTAAAATTAGACTGACTGGATGTCTGTATATTCTGCGTAAGCTATCTTGAACATGTTTTTGAATACTCCAAAGAAGTTGGTTTTCGAATGTAATCCAATAAACATGTTGCTTGAGCTGTAATTCTAATCTATTGAAATATTTCACAACACCATTCATTTCTAAATATCTACATGGAGCATCAGGGTGGTGAAGAAAGGCTTCTCCAGAAATTACATACAAGAGGTACACCTTGAGATTACAGACCAGTGCTTAGAGGTACCTTGTGAAGGTTTTGTGTTTCTCTTCGCAGTTGGATTATGGGGTAGGAAATGCAATCAACTTGTAAACACTGTGATTTGCACGTTTGTGTGTACGGGACAAGAAAGAGCTGAAACTTTCACAGTGGAGTCAACATAAGAGAAAGCTCCACTGTACGATCTTAGTAGAGTGATTAGTGGTTAAGATGCAAACAGACTTTTTAAGGGCCCGTTGCATTTGAAAAAGTGGACGCCGACCACCTGTGTGTCATTTCTAGACACATCCAGGTGTACAGGCAGACCTGCTTTGAACCAGAATCCAGTTAAAATGAACTTAGATCCCATTAAAAAAAAAAAAAAAAAAAAGTTAAGGTTTAAAAAACAAACATCTACCAGGAGTGAGGAAGTCAGGAGAAGAATACGAGGTTGTTTGCTGAACTTGGCTCATCACTTTTAGGTTCCATGCATTGGATTAGTCTGGGATCTGAGGCTCTAGCTCGAGAGAAATCTCTCCCAAAAAAAAATAAAAAAACTTGCCAGACTTGCAGTTTCTGTACAGAATATATCAAAGCCTATGCAGCGCTGTCAAAGTAGGGATTTCTCTTCCAGCAGGCAACTTAACCATCGGTTCTCACATTTTTCCCACTCGACTCTTATGCGTTACTCGCAGCACATCGTTCTTCTGGCAGATTTCTTTGTTTGAGATGCAGTGTTATCATTTAAATTTTCTAGAGACTTATTTTCATGTGGGTGTTTTGTTTGCTTTGGTCAAGTGGCAAACATTTATTCAATTATCACATTTAACAGCGTGGGGATATTTCTGTGTTGTTTTCCTTAAACACTGCCACACTGAAATGCTTGAATACAGCCACTGTGTTACTGAGGTTTTATGGTCACCCCTTTTTTTTTCTGTTTATTGTTTTTGGTATGAAAACATCACCAAAGCATCATCCAAACGCATCATGTTGCTATGGCGAGTTTGTTTTGTTTTCTAAGCTGCTGGGCCGTACAATGCCCAGTTGATGGAATAGAGATTACTTCTGTCTGCATTCCTACTGATCTTGTTTTGCCTCGACAGCGGAATGCCGTCATGAAGGACAATGTGATTGGTTCGGGTCCCAAATTGTGGCGGTGGCTGCAATTGGAAGTTCATTTGGAGCTAAATTAGACCTGTGGCTCAGAGGTTCCTCTTTGCTCCCTGTTTGTTTGAGCGCATTATGACAAAGTGCTTTCATATTTGCACCGACATCAGCGACTGTGACGTTGTAGGTGCTGTTTTGCAAGCGTTGATGCGTTTGCGTTCAGCAGAATGATCTCAAATGCACGCTCAGATCCAGAATAATGTTGTCTTGTCTGTGACTGTACTGTTAATGTGTGTGTCGGCAGCTGGCGTCGGGCATCTACAGCTTTGCGTGCTCCCTGTGGAGCCATCACACCGACTGCTTCCTCCAGCAGATCTATGCCAGAGATGAGGCAGCGGCGCTCAGCTCACTGGAGAGGACCCTGCTTTCTCTTAAAGGTAGAGACATTAGCACGCAAGCAAACTCTCATATTCCCTCCCCTCACGCACACACACACGACACGACTTCATTGTCACGAAAGCATCCATTTGTTGTTTAATACAAGCTGGTAAATAAATCATGGCTTTAAATGACTCATTGCGTAATGTGATTTAATCACATGATCCCTCTCACTGACAAAATGTAATTAAGTGGACAGGTTGTGAACTAATGGAAATGTTCATAATGTGCTGCTATTTCATGAAACACTGATTATGTATGGAGTGGACTTTATATATTTTTTTCTATCCGCCCCTCTCAGTGCTTCGCAAGTTGACGGTCCACGGATTCCAAGAGCCACAACAGAATATGGAAGTGATGGTGAGTCTTAAGTTATTTCCGTTGTGCCTGATACAGAACCTCACATATTTCAGAAAAGCAGATTTTTTTTTTCCTGTTGGTCTTTTAGGTTGAAAATAACTCCAAACATTGCGCGTAAATATATGGATGGCCGTAATGATCGAGCGTCCCTTAAGCCTTGTCTCGGTTCAATGAGTCAAGTTACCATAGGAGCTCTTCTCCGACTCCGAGTGGAAAAAAAAAAAAAGTCCAACCCCATGAAACTGTTAATTCAATTCAGTTTAAATCTGGTCTAAAAAAATCCTCAGGGTGTGCCTGGATAGGGCTTTGGTTTCCCCATGGCTCAGAGTTAATGGAATCATTTGCCCATAATGTCCCAGTCATTTTAACTCCAGCTCCAGATTCTGACTACTTCCTTCTTAGTGAGGGGAAAAAAATAGCAGTAAATGTTTTAGAAATAGTTTTTAATTTTAAAAAACACAAATAAACTTTGTAAATTTAAATGTAGATATCTCCAGGCTGTGATCTGATGACCAGTATTACTGTGGTGCCGTTATCCATTCAGTCTGTACCTGCAGCACTGAGCAGTCATGTGATGCTGCTAAATATGCTGAGTAGGAAAACTGTACTCAAACATCCCACTCTTTAATAAAAGCAAACGCTCGAACGCACTCATCCGCCAGAACAGAAACTTGAAGCGACACGTGTCGACCTTTAGGTGCGCCGCTTTCGAGCTTTTCAGGCTTTTAGGTGCTGTTTAATATGGAGTTAAACTAATTGCTCTTGACTGATTGAATTCGCTGTCAAGTGACATCTTGCATATGCAAATGAGAGGAGAATACGGTCGTGACTCGATAATCTGACACTAAATGTAAAACCTTCTTTTATGTCGGATAGCTAGGCTGTCGGATTGTCAAGGCGGAGGTCCAGATACAAGGAGGGCTTCATGCTTAAAGGCTCATTTGTTGTTAATATTTATTGTTGTTATAATAACTAGTGTATTGATAGAGCACGACGCATCGCTGGATTTCACGCCTAATTGACCGGTGCGCTTGTGCACATTCCGGCCACTTCCAGCGCTCCGACGGGGTGGAAGTGGTCGGAACGCACAGGCAGTACTTGGCTGCTGATGCCAGTTTAGTTAGCGGTCATAGTTCTGTTTCCACCATTGGCAGCGGCGGGGGAGTGGCGGATACACTCCGCCGTTTCCATCCGTGTTTGCTTCTGCGAACGCTGCTCGCTGCGTGTGACATCATCGTGTCCTCCTCTGCGATTCCTGCAAGAGTTGAAGAATTTATTACCGTGAACAATGCAGTCCTGAGATAAATGAGACATTTTGAAATACAAGAACAAAAGCACGAGTTGCAAAAATCTGATTTTGAATTGAATTGTGACTGCCAATCAGAATCAAGTGGTAAATCACCTAATTATTAACTCCAAAGTGGACCAGATCAGTCGGGTATCAGCGGGGTGTGTTTTAAAGAATCTTTCGACCAGACTAAAACCAGGAAGTCAAGACAGTGAGTGGAGTCATTTTCAGGAGCAGGTCAGAGGTTTCATTAGTGTGGAAATAACTCACAGCAGTGATTATTTAGCAGTGGTGACAATTTGAATAAATATAATTTAGAATCCCAAACGTACAGCTGTGGCTTCAGAGTCAGGATTTACATGTTTTATTCTTCATATCATCATTCCTTAACTATTTCTTTTTATGTACTTGGGTGAACAAAACATGTCCAGGCCACTTAGAGGTCACAGACATCCACCAAAGCCAACAGCCCACTCTTTTATGATATGTGATTTTGCAACCCCAGCCAGATCTGCACTGAAATTGGATTAGTTAAACTTGCTATTTCCTAATTTGTTTTTTCCTCCCCCATACGCTCGGGCTCCACCTCTCCACTGAGCTTCATGAAAACTGCCCTCCTGGTTTCTAATACTGCTGAGAGACAAACGAGAACATAACCTCCTCGGTGGAGGTTATTATAGGACATAATTGGGATAGCATTGCTTGGTATAACTTATTTATGATATCTAAGGGCGCAACCTATTAATTAAAAGCAGAAAACTGATAATGAAAGTAAATGCTGGCTACCCAATAGGACATTTAATTTTGCCGTGTTGTCTTAAAGCAACCTTCATCCGCAGTACGAGCTGTCAAATAAGGCCAACGTGTCATTAGCTTTGGGAGCTCGCTCAGTCCACCACTGCTGCTGTGCCGTCTCTGTGTTTCTACTGTAGTAGTTTTATTATTTTTGTCTTTTATTCCTTTATTTGTTTTTTTTCCCTTCCTCCCTTGGTCTTAAATGGGAGAAGGCAAGGACGCTTTATGACAAAAAGAATTCTGTTTACTGTGCTCTGTTATTTCACTAATGAGACAACTTTTTAGCTTGCAGGCTGAAGGTTGTACGATGGTCGAAATAGTCTCATTAAAATGTCATTTGCCTCGAGCTGTCATTGGTTATTCCGGCTTACTGTAATGGTTGGGAATTAATATTTCATGTTCAGATGTATGTGCCGTTATTTTTCTCACACTCGCTCACTCACTCTAGCGTGTTGTGTCCATTTTTCATCCTCTACCTTACTCAGCTGATGAGGAAAGATGCTCACTGTGAGCCTCGCTGCTTTCTCAACAGCTGTTTCAGGGCTATACATCATGCTATGTTAGAATCAAATCAGAGGTGCACTTTTTTTTTTTTGTTTTCTTTCTTGTTAAGATTAAATTTCCTGCTTGTACTAAAAGCAGGTGGTGTAATCTTTCAAACCAAACAGTTGTGTCTTTCTCCAGTATTTGTATCGTTAAAATGAGGTCGCTGACAGGAACCAATAGGCAACGTTATTCCATCATGTGTCGGACTGTTTCAGGAGGTTTCCTCTCATTTCTTTCACTCCTTTAGCTTCTGTATAACTCAGCACAAAGTGAAAAACCTCAGGAGAAGCGCCTTTTTTTCTGTCTTTCTTTGGCTTTTCAATGACTTTCTTATTTATATCCACAGTGTTCAGATTTCCACCTGGATGTGTCTGAATACTGGCTTTCACGGCCTAATTAATAATTAATGTTGTCGCTGGGGAACGAGTGAGTCGAGTCAGACAAGAATAATGCCTCTTAAATTAATAAAATGCAGGTATTGATTTTACTCAAATTAACCCTATTCCTTAATAGGAAGCCTGTAGTTATTCATGATGCTGCTGCCACACATTACGCTAATGAGAATCCTCATTCAGATCACTGTCACTGTCATTAACTACTTCCTGAGTTTAAATGTTTTTGGACAGATGATATTTTTTAAAAATATTTCCTGCCATGGTTTAAGGATGTGCCACGCTCTTTTCATCTGACTTACTGATTAAGTCTTTAAGATGCTGATGACTTGTCGTCTCTCATTTTTGCTCTTCCTTCAGTGATGGATGTGACACTGGGGGGAAAAATAAAAAAATCAGTTAATTCATATCATGTGATTTAAGTTTTAATTCCATTTCAGGGTTGTATTTCTGTCAGGGAGTGTAGAAGAGAGTCTGCAGGTGGCCTACCAAAGAAGTAATGTAGCACGCTGATGACAACCTCATAAACTCATCTTTAAAGTGAACTGTGTCATCAGTATGTCATGATGTGTAGCTCATTTCAAGTCTTCTTAACAAATCTGCCAATTATGCATAATGTGAACAGGTCAGAGCTAACTCCTTTGACCCTCACACATTTTTGGGGAATTTTGAGCCCTTCTGCAATGTTGGAAACATATTGGAGGCTGGCAAATTGTCAAAGTTAGTGGGATGATTTTTACACGAAGTAGAAACCCCAATCAGCCACGACATCGTGTAGTTTTCCTATTGCGCTGCCAAAATAGCCCTGAATCATCAAGGCCCGGATACAGGACCTCTGGGGGCCTCCTGTAAGGCAGGGGTATCCAGTCCTGGTCCTCGAGGGCCACAGTCCTGCATGCTTTAGATGTTTCCCTCTTCCAGCACACCTGATTCAAATGATCAGCTCATCATCAAGCTCTGCAGAAGCCTGATAACGATCCTGATCATTTGAATGAGGTGTGTTGGAAGAGGGAAACATCTAAAGCATGCAGGACTGTGGCCCTCGAGGACCAGGATTGCACACCCCTGCTATAGGATCTTGCACTGGGGACAGCAGATCTTTTGGGTCCTGTGGTTTCTGGGATTAGGCACCACGTTTGACTTACAGCTATGAAATTTGGTACGCATACGTAGCAGGTAGGGATGTACAAAAAAAGTCCATCAGCGCGTTTCCGTAAACCCAACAGGAACTCCGTCATTTTGAACAAACAGTGAGCATCAACATTTTTGGCCATTTTCAAAATCTGTCTCCTCCTAGGGGTTATTTCGTACACACCTGAACTTTGTCAAGGACAAACTACAGGACGTGATGATTAAAAGTTATTAAAACACTCTGCAAAAGTCTGACAGTGTGGAAATGGCAGACCACGCAATTTCAATAAAAGACCATTTTTGCACATTTTTGCTGTGTTTCTGCCATTCAGTGGAGTCCCGTTGGCAAGCTATTTGACCTATACTTACAGAATTTTTGCTGCGCATGTGTAGCAGGTCAGGAAGCACAAAAAAGTCAACCAGGGCCAAGCCGTTAAACAGGACGTGGCGTCTAACTCGGCAGCAGGTGCTCTGATCTGGCCGAAACTCAGCACACCGGATCAGACTGCTGTCTAGAGCGCGTTTCTGCCAAACCCTGACGTGCACAAAGGCCAACAATCGTAGCTATTTTGGCATTGACACACCCACTTCCTTTAAAATATGAAATTTTTCGCCAGTCCTGGTATGAATGGTGATTTTGTTGAGTTTTTTGGGAGTTTTCAGGCATGTTTAGGCCCGTTTTTGCACCATGAACCAATTTCAAGCAAGACAATTATCTACGGACTGGTCATTGTGCACATGACAAACAATAGCAGTTTCTTTTCTATTAAAAACGTGTCGTCAATGAATATTACTTTTTAAAGCTAAATATGTATTGTTTTGTTTTTTTCTGTCTCAGCATCGAGTCTCCCTCTGAAGAGACTCTTTTTTTAAAATTAATTGTTCATTCATTTTCACGGCCAGGCATGAAAACTGAAACAAGTGCAGGAAACGAGCACAAGCGTATGTGACGGGAAGGCGGGACAGTCATTTTTCAAAACGAAACACCCTGCAGACTCCACCGAAAATAAAATAAACCAATAAAACGTTTTTATTCTGTCTGTGCGGCCTGGTACCAGATGACCCACGGCCCGTTGGTTGGAGACCACTGATACAAATGACTCAATTAATTAAATATCCACATTGATTCACCTACTTATTGCTTTTACTCTGGGGAAAAAAAATGTTTTGTCAGTCATCTCACATTTCTATTAAACGTAAGATGCAGTTTTAACTTACTGGTAAGTCATACGACAGACTTCCTCTTCTTGTTCTGTTGGTGTTTTCTTCCTGAAGGCAGTTTTTTTCCTTCCAACTATTACCAGATGTTTGCTAAANCCTTTGACCCTCACACATTTTTGGGGAATTTTGAGCCCTTCTGCAATGTTAGAAACATATTGGAGGCTGGCAAAGTTAGTGGGAAGATTTTTACACTAAGCAGAAACCCCAATCAGCCACGACATTGTGTAGTTTTCCTTTTGCGCTGCCAAAATAGCCCTGAACCATCAAGGCCCGGATACAGGACCTCTGGTGGCCTCCTGTAGGGTCATACGCTGGGGACAGCAGATCTTTTGGGTCCTGTAGTTTGTGGAATTAGGCACCACGTTTGACTTATAGCTATGAAATTTGGTACACATATGTAGCAGGTAAGGACGTACAAATAAGTCCATCAGCGCATTTAGAATAGAGTAGAAAAATACTTTATTTATCCCAGGCCGTACACCTAACAGGAACTGCCATTTACAACAAACGGTGAGCATCACAGGCCATTTTCGGCCATTTTCAAAATCTATCTCCCCCTAGGGGTTATGTCGTACAGACCTATAATTTGTCCAGCACAAACTACAGGACGTGATGATTAAAAGTTATTAAAACACTCTGTAAAAGTCTGACAGTGTGGAAATGGCAGCCCACGCAATTTCGATAAAAGACCATTTTTGCGCATTTTTGCTGTGTTTCCGCCATTCAATGGAGTCCCGTCGGCAGGCCGTTTGACCTACACCTACAAAATTCGCTTCGCATGTGTAGCAGGTCAGTATGCACAAAAAAGTCAACCAGGGCCAAGCCGTTAAACAGGATGTGGCGTCTAACTCAGCCGCAGGTGCTCCGATCTGGCCGAAACGTAACACGTTGGATCAGAGTGCCGTCCAGAGCGCGTTTCTGCCAAAGCCTGACGTGCATGAAGGCCGACAATCGTAGCTAATTTGGCATTGACACACCCACTTCCTTTAAAATATGACATTTTTCGCCAGTCCTGGTGTGAGTGGTGATTTTGGTGAGTTTTTGGGGAGTGTTTAGGCATGTTTAGGCCCATTTTTGCACCATGGACCAATTTCAAGCAAGACAATTATCTATGGACTGATCATTGCGCACATGACAAATAATAATAGTTTGTCACCAATTAATAAAATTACGTCTTAATGCTAAAATGGTATTTACTTTTTTTTTCTGTCTCAGCATCAAGTCTCCTTCTGAAGAAACTCTTCAGAGTAGTTTTTTTTCAAAATGAGTTTTTATTCATTTTCACGGCCAGGTATAAAAACTGAGTCAAGTGCAGGAAACAAGCACAAGTGACGGGAAGGCGAGCCACTCATTTTTCAAAACGAAACACCCTGCAGACTCCACCGAAAATAAAATAAACCAATAAAACGTTTTTATTCTGTCTGTGCGGCCCGGTACCAGATGACCCACGGCCCGGTGGTTGGAGACCACTGATACAAATGACTCAATTAATTAAATATCCACATTGATTCACCTACTTATTACTTTTACTCTGGGGAAAAAAAAGATTTCCTCTTCTTGTTCTGCTGGTGTTTTCTTTCTGAAGGCAGTTTTTCCTTCCAACTATTACCAGATGTTTGCTAAATGGCAAATTATTCGGTTGCTCTGTTCTACTGTAGACCTTGACTTTACTGCATTGAGACTTAATATGTTATGAGTTGTTGCTATGTAAGTGAAATTAGATTTAATTAAAAATGGTTTGCAGGTTGTTCTGGATGTCGGTGTTTACTGGGATGCTGTAATTCGTTCATAAAAAATGTACTTGAATGCAACACCGTTCATACATGCACGCTGTCCTCACACGCCATCGTGCTTGTTTTGGCTGTTTTGTTCATCTCCAGCTGTTTCCTGTTTGAACTGAAATGTTTTCTGATCACAAAATCTGGTTTTGACACGACATAAATTATAAAACCTTGTAACCGAAGCGCTTGTCATCCACGAAACTTCCAGCACCGTCGGCTTCAAATATACACATTCTAATCCGACAGCCGGTGACCATGTTTTTGCCCATTTTTCATTTATGTTTCTTCTGTTCAAAGCCGCCCTCATTTGGCCTCGTTGGTGCCAGTTTTAAGTTCCTGGCATGACATTTCCTCAGCCTGTAATCCAAGCATAAGTGAAGACTCTTCATCTTATTCACAGGGGAGTTCAAATTGCTGTTTTGTTTGTCTCTCAGCAATGCCTACAAAGACTACTTACCAGTTATTTCCACTCACACTGGCACAACGTTTATGTGTATGTTATTGATTAGAGCTTGTTTAAATTCAGCTTTTCTTAAACGACAAGCAGCCTTCTGTCGTCGTTTGGCACCTTTTCCAGGAACTTGTGCGCCACAGCCTTAAGGCAACAGTTTATGGCATTCACACTGGGGCCCTGGGTACAGAACTGCTTTACAGCGAGTCTCTTCACACATGAGATGAGCATTCTGGACAGATTAGGTTTATTTTCTAATCACCACTGTGGCAGCATTGCTGGAGAACTGCACTGGGTTGGAAAATACTGACTCTAAGAAAGAAGAACATTGTTAGTTTTCACACAGGCTGCCGCAGTGATGAATTCTCAAACTTATTTTGCACTTGAATGACTTTTTATCCTCCTGGCTTGATTTTCAAATAAGCACTACAGGAGTGAGGCTAGAATAGACATCTCAAACGATCTGGCTCGTCACGAGCAGAAATCAATTTGGAAATCACTATTGCTAGTCTGCATGTGGGTGACTAACAGCTAGGAGTTACCGACTATCTTTGTGTCACGATCAGAAACATCCATCTATTATCTATCCATCACTTAGTCCTTACTAGGGTTGTGGGGGGCTGGAGTCTATCCCAGCTGACTTAGGGTGAAGGCAGGAGACACCCTGACCAGGTCGCCAGCAATTGCAGTCCTGCCCAGTATGAGAGGAACCTCGTACTGGGCAGGATTGCTATTGCGACAACACATTATCAGTAGGGTCAAACTAACCTGTCTCACGACGGTCTAAACTGAGCTCACGTTCCCTATTAGTGGGTGAACAATCCAACACTAGGGAATTCTGCTTCACAATGATATGAAGAGCCGACATCGAAGGAAAGCGACGTCGCTATGAACGCTTGGCCGCCACAAGCCAGTTATCCCTGTGGTAACTTTTCTGACACCTCCTGCTTAAAACCCAAACAAGTCAGAAGGGCTACACTTAGAGACAGACAACCAAGCACACTCACATTCACACCTACGGACAATTTAGATTCATCAATTATCCTCAACATGTTATTGGACCTTGTGGGAGGAAGAACCCAGGAGAACATGCAAACTCCACGCAGAAAGATCCCGGGTGTCCGTGAACCGGCGACCTTCCAGCTGCGAGGCAACGGTGCTAACCACCGCTTCACCTGGCAGCCCCACGATCAGAAACAATATAGACTTAAACAAAGGGCACATTCAGTTAAACCACTGTAATGAACAACCTGCAGCTTTCTAAACCTGGAGCTAATCTGCACGTATTTCTGACCACACACAGATGAAACATTCACTCACTTTTAGTTTTAATTGCCACCCACTGCTCTTCTGTTGGATCTTTCCTCCAATCAAACCGGGCTGTTGCTGGCTTGCTTGACACTGTCATCTCTCTTTACAAACTGCTTCTTACAGTATTGCTGACATGCCCATTTAAAGCCCACCGCTCTGTCTTCATTTTTCTGTCATTTTTTTTTCCTTTTTCTAAACAATTTCAGCTAATTTTCCTGACATTGGTTTACTTCTTACTTAATCCTTTCTTTCCCGGCAGTGCCGAGAGCCACACTTTTCTTTTTGTCATGACTGATTCAGTCATTTCTTTTTAGCACTCCCTTTTGCATTTTGTAATTTCCTGCGTGCCCTATTTAGCTATTATTTTCTTCTTTTATTTCATCCACCTTGCGTCTGCCGCTTTTCTAAATCCCACAATTAGCATATAGCGAACGCCTGCAGCGAACTGCCTTCTCCATCATCTCCCACCCTCTCTTCTGTGCTCCTCCTGCGACCTCCTCCTTCTCCGCTAACCCTGTTAGGAGCTTTAGTTTGCGGCTTGGGCGTGTTGGATGATTGCGTGATTGATGACCCTGGTGTTGACCTCGTGGCTGAACATTAATGCAGAGCTAACACTTAAGAGTTTGCATCTCCATCTATCATCTAATTTCCCATGCTGAGCCACGACTACACCGGGCTACAGAAAATTGATTCTCTTTCACAAGGTGTACCTGGCACTCGTATTTATACTCCCGAGTATGTGCACATACACACGACACACAAACACAAGTTATTCCCTTGTTAGTATATCTGCTTCTGGGCAATACTTACGAAGCAATCAGGAGTGATTCAGCTGCAGAAATGTCGAAGAGATTAAACTTTATCTCACCCTCTCTTCATCTTTTCCTTTTCAGGGGTTCCTGAATGCAGTGTTTGAAAGGCTAAAACAGTTCTTGGAATGCTGTGAGTACTTGTCTCTTTCTCCATCCTCAATCTCTGATCCAAGGCTTCTGTAAACAAACACAGCTACCGGTGCTTCATGTAGTGCACGCAGAGGGCACACACTTCAAAATCTAGGATCGTTTGTGATACCCGGAGCTGAGGTCTCATGTAAGCACAGCGTAATCTAGGTGGCAAATTAAAAGTTCAGATGGAGTCATCCTGAAGGGGCTTGGTTCTTCTGAAGCATTAGAAAACTGGAAGTGACACAACTCCTCACTATGCTACCATTTATTGCTTGCCTTTGAAAGAGCAGTGGTCTTATAGATGTGAACATAAAATTATGGCAATAAATCTATTAAAGGAGCCCCCCGTCTGATTCCTCCTATCAAATAAACAATGTTTGTCTCCTTTAATGATGTTCTGTTGGTTTACGTAGAATCTAACCGTACTGTGTTTTACTGACACTTTCAATATGGACTCCCTTCAAGCTTCGGTAGTTGAGTTTTTAGCCTACATAGTCCTAAATACCCACAGAAACAAGACTCGTGAGCTGAAAGTCAGTGTAGTGCAGTGGAAGCAGTTGTGTGCATTCCAAACTAGTTACTGAATGATTGTCAAGTCCTGCCCCTGGAGCAGGAACATCATTTCGCATCTAGACCAGTGGTTCTCAAACTGGGGGTCGGGATCCCCATGGGGGTCCGAAGATAATTTCAGGGGGTCGCCAGAAAAAATACAAATAAAGCCGACTATGTCAAATAAATTTGAATTAGGGCTGTCAAAATTAAAAGCGTGTACTTCTTCCCACTCCTTTTTTGAACTTGTTGATATTATGATTTGATAATGTGATATTTTTATTCTTTTTTGCTCTTTTTAAAATGATTTTCTTTTGTTTTTAATTTTTTTCCCCCTTTCATTTGTTCGAAATAAATTCAATTCATTCATTTAAAGAAAATTAATGTGTTAATTTAAAGAGATTAATCTGTGGAATTAACACATTCATTTTTAATGCATGAACAACAAAGTTATTACTCATGCCGTGTTAAGAATTCAAACTGGGGGTCACAAACACAAACTTATGTTATCTTGGGGGTCGTGGCTCAAAAAGTTTGAGAACCACTGGTCTGGACTTGTTGAACACCAACAAAATTTACCTCCTAGTTCCTTTAGTTTAATCCAAGGTAGAGGCTCTTCTTCCCTTTTTACTCTTCTGAGATGGAAACGCCGATGAGTCTGAGCTCCCTAGTTCAGCAGCAGTTATGTAAGCTCGCATTTCCTGTCTGAGCTCACTGTCGTTTCACTTCTTTTCCATACAAGTTTGTCACAGCAACACCCAGGAGGTGTGAGATAATCTCAGACACAACCTCACGAGCGGCCACTGCAGCAGATGTTAGCAAAAACTATCATTTGAGATATCAGCCACAGCTATCACTTCCAATATTCACTCTGCTGATGGTAATGGAGACCGGATCAGGGCCCTGTTGGTATTTGGGCCCGGCAGATAGGGGGAAGCAGCAAGGCAGCTCACAGCCTGATGGTGAGAAATATCAGCTCTGCACAGCCTGATAAGGTCAGCTGTATAAACTGGTGTTTTTGGTACAGTCTTTGTGGTGCGTTCAGATGTCTGGCTCCTTCTTTTTGATGTTTGTCCTCCACCTGAGGTCACCTGTCTATTTTTGTCAGCGTCCATGTTGTTGAAAACTTTTCTTTTTTTGCTAAGCTACATATCTGTCAGACATAATGAATACCCTTTTGTTTCATCATCATCCATTTCTGTCTATGCTCAGATTCGCAGATTGCGTCGGTTTTCGATGCATGACCTCAGTGACTTTGATGACTTTGCACATCATCTGCTAACATTAGCATCTGTTGGACACTTTGCAAACACTGAAAAAAAAATTGCACGGACACAACATCAATAACGCGGTGTTTGATCTGCATAATCTGTGCACAGTCTGAAAGAAGCAAGTAAGCGAAGCACTCTTTGAGCCAGCGAACCAGTTTTAATGAATCTATTATCACTTTAAATTAGTGCTTGCCAATAGGAATTATGTGTGTATAAAGCAAGTGGTGACAATGACCCTGCCTATTCACAAGTGACTGGAGGAATGCCAGTGAACGTTATTGTCTCTGCCGCTTTAATCAGCGAAGTTGACAAGAAAGTAAACTATATGGGGCATTGCTACTGGCTCGAGCATCATGATTGGTTTTATGGAGGCAGAATTTACATCAGAGGGAGTGAGTCATTCATTTTATTTTTTTTTTTTAGTTCTTTTATTACTGTACTTTATTTTATGCACCAATGCTTGTAATGGGCCCATGGGACTATCACAAGGCTGCAAGGTGAAATGGGCGATTGACCTTACAGAAACGGAAGTTTCATATATTAAATGAAGATAAATTATTTTTTTAACATGTCCCCCAAGCACCCGTTTTTCTCTTGCTGCCCTTTCTGCCTCCTGCTGTTGTGGATGATGCTGTTAACTCACTTGATAGAAAGCAACACTTTGCTGTACTTCATGTAAATCAATCCAAGACGCACTCTGTCCAGACCTTTTGTTAGATGGACTGAATTATGTGGGTTCTTGTGTTTCTGCTGGGTTAAAGTCATATCAGTTTGGTAGAGTTCAACTATTGCTGCCAGTAGCTGGTCGATAAGTGTCTCACAATAGTGGATCCACTGCTATTTACACTATATGCAAGTCATTTTCATTTTATTTATTTTTATTTATTTTTCCTTTATTTAACCAGGTAGGTTAATTGAGAACAGGTTCTCATTTACAATAACGACCTGGCCAAGAGGCAGCACAGAGCAGACAAACAATACAATTTGTCAGCCCAGGATTGTAATACCCCCATTCTTTGCTAATGATCTTGTATGTCCTCAGCTCTTCTGCACATCAGGCTTCCTCCAGATTACAGGTTGCTTTTGTGACCTGCTGACCTCCTTGGAACCTCCAACTTAATTTAACGCTTTTTCCAAATTAAAAGCAAACAATTGATTGCATCTAAAATGTTATTGTTCTCAAATGTATTTTCTGTTCTCCATCTGCTACCTTATTATCCCCAACACCTTATCCCCACTCTCACCCCAACTGGTCAAGGCAGATGGTCGCCTCCCCTCAACCTGGTTCTGTCAGAGGTTTTTTTTTTTTTTTTTAACCCTACCCCGTTAAATGGCGGTGGGGTAGGGTGGTTCTTTCTCACTGTCACCGACTGCTTGTTCATAGGGGATCCTAAGGGAACTTTGGATTGTTGGGTTCTCTGTTTAAGAATTCTAAGGTCTATACCTTAGCTTGGGATGAATTGAATTTCACTGCCATTACCAATATCCTGACCGTTTTCTACATGGAGATCTAATTGACCATTAAATACACTTAGGAATCTGCCAAGATAACAGATAATCTACCAAACCCATATTGAACATCTGCTTAGAAATCCATCCATCCATCCATCCTTCCATCCTTCCATCCTTCCATCCATTATCTATACACCGCTTGATCCTCAAGAGGGTCGTGGGGGGGCTGGAGTCTGTCCCAGCTGACTTAGACACACTGGACAGGTCGCCAGTCTATCACAGGGCTACACTTTGAGACAGACAACCAAGCACACTCACATTCACACCTACGGACAATTTAGAATCACCAATTAACCTCAACATGGTTTTGGACGATGAAAGATCCCGGGCGTCCTCACCGGGACGCAAACCTTCTAGCTGCGATGCAACGATGCTAATATTATAATTTAAAATGAGATTGTATTGATACAGAGCTCTTTAAAATAAACATGATGTGAGCCACTATACAGTCGATGCTGCATTATTTAGATGGCCTGTTTGCATCAAGGTCATTCCTGGTATCTAGAAGGCATCAACTGACACGTGTCTTTATTTGTATAATTCGCTTTGCTCTCCAAGTTTCTTCAGCTGGAAAAAACCCCTTTTCACAGGAGAGATTGGCCTTGAAAGTTCCTTATGACCAAATCTGAACTGGGGACGTCTGGTTTTCTTCTTTTTGCACCTTGCTACCGGAAAGAGCTGCAACACAGTTGAATTTAGAGACATTCATGTGTCTGAGAGATTTTGAAGCCTCATTTGCTTTTATATTAAATATTTGTGTTTGTCTCGATTAGTGTGGTGAGTGTTTGAAGGTTGTTTGGACTGAATCATTTGCATTTTTTCATCTTATGTACGTATAACTCGGTTTTCGGGTTTGTCTTCCAAAAGAAACCTAAATCTCAGTAAGACATTTTAAATTTATGAACCTTAATTATTTATCCAAAGTAATGACTCATTTGTACCATTCAGGTTTTTTTTTTTTCTACCCCTTTGCATAAGTCCATCATGAATGCATTGAATAGATAAGATCAGACACCTGTGGAAGATAATTACCAATCTAATGTTCCATGTCACACTGAAAAGGTTTCCTCTGAATTAATTATGACTCATTTTAAAATATAATTATCAACAGTTGACACAGTGCGCCTTTTTATGAATGTATGGGTTAAATATTCAGGAGAAGAAAGTTCAGAATCTCGACACGTCATGCTGCCGAACCCCCAGAATCCTCCTGTAAGCTGTTTCTATTAAACCAAGATCTGTTACAACAATGCTTTGAGTCTTTGGTGGATTTTAGGACATTTTTACATTATTAATGAAATAATGGTTTACTCTCATTGTGTATCAGAGCGCATCATAGCGGTGCTTTAGTCACGATTTGCATTTGTGGCCAAGAGGTGATCATAGTAATTTGCATATTGGATAGAAATTTTTTTGTATGAAAGTTGGAATAATACATTCAAAACAAATAACTATGGGTCATGTTTATATTAGCAGCTAATAACTGGTCGTGGATGTTTTATGTTTGTATGCTGCAGTAACAAGCTGTGTGGCTGTTTTGTGTTTCAGGTCGCCAGATTGGTTCAGATAGCACATGCAGAGAAAAGCTGGAGAAGACGATCATACTGTACACTAAAGTTGTGAGTTGACACATATTATTACGTAATCTTAAATGAGAAATGTCTGTTTCATTGTTTTGGAATAAACTGTGTATTTTTTGCAGACCAATGATAGTTTCAAGCTAATTTTTATTGATTTTTTTCTTCTCTTCCTTCCATGTAGTTGTTAGATTTCCTGGAGTACCATCCATGTGCGTTTATACCCCTAATCCAGCGATCCCTGGAATTCGCCGTTAGCTACGTGTTCACACCTGCGGGAGAGGGAGTGACCTTCGAACGCTTCATCGTTCAGTGCATGAACCTCATCAAGATGATTGTCAAGAATGACGCCTACAAACCTGCCAAGAACATTGATGGTAGGATACGAGGAGAACTCCCCCTAAAAGGTGGAGGATAAAGGATGAATGAAGTGTTGAGGCACAATGAAAAGACAAGATAGAAGAGTGGAAGCAACTGAGTAAAAAGACTGAAACGAAAACTTGACAATCAAAACTGAATTGTGGATCTGTGATTTCAAGGCCGCAGAAATTGCCACTAGCTTTTCAAAGTTGATCGCTGACAGAGTTTTGGAAAGCACAGCGCCGTAGTACAATCAGTGTCAGTGTACCTCCCCGTAGCTCATGTTTATTTCAAGCTGTCAAGAAGCCTCCAGTGCTTCATTAGCGACGGAGCACAGCAACCTGGTCTTTGTTCTACCGCTGAAGATCTTTCTCTGACGCTACCTTTCTAGGGAGCAACATTTTTGTGTTTCTTGGTTGAAAGCCTGGTGTTTGTTTGAATATCATGTGACGTCAGAGTTACGTCGGATTTCAGGATTAGTTTCTTGCAAACAGGAAAACAAAGTATGTCAAGTAGGAAAGTTGTATAGCTAAAGGATAAGTTAGAGACAGACAACCAAGCACACTCACATTCACACCTACGGACAATTTAGAATCACCAATTGGGGAGTGGGAGGAAGTCGGAGAACCCGGAGAGAACCCACACTGCACGGGGAGAACATGCAAACTCCACGCAGAAAGATCCCAGGTGTCCTCACCAGGACGCGAACCGGCGATCTTCTTGTTGCGAGGCAACGATGCTAACCACTGATCCACCTTGCAGCCCAGTTAAAGAAATACATAATGCATTCTCGTCTGTTAATACTTTCCTAAAATCCCTCTCCAGTCATTGATTGAATCTTCAAAAAGTAATGTGTCAGCATTATACAGTTTTTCCTCTTAGTGAAAATAACCTTTTTACCTCAAATAGGCTTAAATTGAACTCTACACCTCCAACAAAATGCACAGATGTCGTACTTTCTAGCTAACCTACGACTTCCCACAGACACTGTGAAATTACTCTCCACTACACAATGGGTAGATTTAATATTGGAGTAAGTTAGCACCACATGTTTGAACTGGAATCCAATTCTGAAGCAAAATAATAATACAAGAAAGTCGTACCCTGCAAGTTAACTAGATTTGTTGTGTATATGAAACCCTGCCCGGACATCTGGATTGGTGTTTTTAAGACTGTTGGAGGTATGCTGCAGCTGCAAGGTTGAAATGGTCAGCCCTGGTGTTTGCTGCTTATTTCATGCTTGATGTGTCTTCAAGCATTTAAAAAAAAAAAAAAGCACCATAAGGGCATGTTAATGGGGTAAACACTTTAAGGTTTTTAATGGAAAATTATCTTCATTTTAACTGGAAATTAGGAATAGCAGCAGAGTGGTGATACTTTTTCCAATACAAGCAATTATACAGTGGTATGAAACAAAAAAAATAAAAATAGAAAAGCAGATTTAATGCTGAGAGGTAAAGGAAACGAAAGATAATAGTACTAATGTGACTCAAGCGGTATATGGGTTGTGATCAGTAAATATAATTTAGATAACTATTGTACTTTTTTCCCACCCTTCATTCTTCTTCTTTCACTGCCACTGCTCTTTTCCCTCCCTTCTCCCTCCTTCAGACAGTAAACCTGAGAGTCTGGAGGCTCACAAGATCAAGACGGCATTCTTCACACACCCCACGCTGACAGAGATTGGACGCCGGCTCGTCTCACACTACTTCCTTCTCACAGAGGAGGAGCTGGCAATGTGGGAAGAGGACCCTGAGAGCTTTGGTAATAGCACATCCCCGGACACACAGGCTGAATCCAAATGTCTAGACTTATCTGGACTTGCAGACTAGCAGACTTAACAGGCGTGCTCTCCTGCTAGTCTGGAACTCTGAGGGTTAGTCAGTTTGTCGAAGTCAGCAATATGGCTTTGGCTGCAAACTTCTACAGAATCTATGCATTGCGTAATTTTTTCAATGTGGTGTCAGAATTAATATCTTCAGTTGTGATTCACGTGTGGTAATTTGTCAAATCATTGAGGTAAACCGATATATCAACGGCGTGAATGAGTCGGTATTTAACTGAACATTGGCTTGTCAAACCTTATAGCTTGTGTCAGCAGCCGATATTTATCTAATCTCATGATTTATAGAGCTCATTTCCCCTCAGAAAAGTATGCAATGAAATAGATAACAGGCTTGAGATCTTAGTGTTAGTTCTAGACATTAGTGATGGACTTTATTGCAGCCCAGGGCCCCTCACAGGCTTGATGTAATGACACTGATCGCTCAGACATAGCACTGGCTGAGACAAAGTTGTTGACATTTGGATTATATTTTATAGTCAGGCACATCCAAGCATGTATATATTTATACAAGCAAGTCTGGTTCAGCTACTCATAACTTCTAGAGCAGCATTTTTCTAAAAGATGAATGTTTTTTATCGTTTCTGTAGCCGTTGAAGAAACAGGCGGCGACTCCTGGAAATACAGCCTGCGGGTGAGTAAAGACAAAAGATTTGCAGATTTTGCGCAGAAATGCACGCAGAGAAATGTTTGACATGATGTCTTCGACTTAATTACCGAAGCAACAGGAAGTCTAGAACTCTTAGAAAGTATATTTTCATGTTCGGACATGTCTAGTGAAGGTGGTTGTACACGCTGCTTGTTGTGTATTTGTCATGTGCTCGTACAGTACAGGCAGTGAGCGTGTTTGGCTGCACAATACCAACAAGACATGATAAAAACATTCCTTAAAAAATAGAAAAAAGTCTTAAATAATGAGACTGTGAAGCTAAAGTGCAGTGTACAAGAGCTTGTGCATGTACGTAAATGTTCTGTCTAAGAGCATCGATGTGCGTGTCTCTACAGGATGTATAGATGTTTACTCTGAGCTGCTGCTACAGATATGGTGCTATGATTTGGATTCAAACCTGAGGGCAGAGTTCACAGTGCTGACAGCGTGAGTCTGTCCGTGTTCGCCTTGATGTTGTGCAGCCCAGAGCGCAGCCACTCGGTCCCTCCCGTTTTTTTGTTCCGTATTGACGAAGCACAACAGACTTGCTGCCAAACTCACATAAACGTTACAGCATCAACGCTTATTCTCTGGGCCTTAAGAAGAGTGACCAGAAACTAAATAAGTGTAGAACTGAAAAAAAAATTCCCAAGTCAATTTTTAAAATCACAAAAGGCAGATTTCATTTTGGGGTAATTGCTGTTCTATTAATCGTCACTAATATGTTTATTCTGTGCAACATTTTTAGAAATTCAAAGCAGCTGTTTATGTGGCGGTGCATAAAAGATTGTGTACATTACGGCTTCATAGAACGGTTAGTGGTGCCTGGAGCTTCGTCGCTCGCCTCTGCGGCTGAGTTAGTCGGCAGAGGCTTATCTTCAGCTGTTGCCGATGCACGACGTAATCTCTTATCCATCATCTTACTTTTTCATTTCTCTTCCCGCTCCGTGTTGTGCCCCGTTCTACTTGCTTTCATCACTTCAGTTGACAAACTTCTGCCCCGCCGTTTCTTTTGAAGTACACTCAAGCATTCTCTCGCTGAACCCCAAGGTTGTGGCGGTAAAAAGTTTGATCCATCTCGAACATGCTGCAGCAGAGGAAAAGCGGCATTACGCTCTATGAGAACTTTTTAAATAGGCAATTACTTCACAGTGTAGAAGTCTCAGTAGAAAACAGATACTTTAATAGTTTTTAATCCATCAGCGTTCTTTTTTGATGGGCTGTTCCAGTGTTTTTGTTAAAGTACACAAAGACTTTCAAAGATTTAAGCACCAGCTGCCAAATTACATTTTTCTTGTTATGAATTTGTGTCCTAAGAGTTTTGAACTGTATTGTTGTAGTATAAGATCCCGTTCCTATTCTGCTTTTCCACTGAGTCGTTTTAATAGAGTTTATTATGTAGAAATGGCTGGAGGTAGTAAGAAAATACACTCGGACGTCTCTGTGGATCAGGCAGCGATAATCGTATAGGCGTCAGATTAATTCTGCATTATGTTTTCGGCTAAGACATCATCCGAATTGACAATTTTTTTCCGTTTAACGCCAGATTGATGAGCTAGTCACCTTTCCCAACAGCGCAATTCCTCCTTTTTGACCTTCATATTGGCACGCTGTTGTGCTACGGATGGTTCATGGATCAAATGTCAGCCTCCGCCTTTTCCTTCCATGGTCACCAATTCTGATCCTATTGATATTAGCACCTGCGTGTGCAGAGCAGGGATTTTGTGTTTGTCTTATTAGGTTTTAAGAAGGTGCCATGTGACCTGGCCTTTTAACATCAGCGAGAAAAGGTTATTCTGTCATCTGGTGAGATTCCACGGACACTGTAACCTCACAAATTGGCGCAGCCCGTGTCAAGTTTCACATGCCTGTTATTTAATATCGATTTTTGTTTTGACATCTAAAACCAATAAACTAATGAAGGTGGGTGGAACGTTTCCCTATTGAACCCAGACAAACAGAAATCCCCTGACAATGTCATATTGACTTTTTTTATTGAACTGGGAACTCGATGCACTGTCGACCAGCTTGTGTGTGTTTGTTGTACCTCTTTGTATATATTCTTTATGCTCATAGACGCCCCTTTATGTGATATTTCCCCCCTCGCTGCCATTGAATACCGCAGTTGGCCACTAAGAATGTGAAATTATTGCGATGCCTTTCACATACAATGAACGCATGTGTTTGACTTCTACTCTGCCAGTTAACTTTGTCTTTTTGTCTCTTGTTCTGCATTCAGCCTTGTACGGAGGTACTGTTCCTGGATATATTCCACAACTACAGCCAGACCCTGACACCGGTGCTGCTGGATATGGTTCAGAATCTCCAGGGTCAGTTAAATGTCAAGTCAAATATTATTACGGTCTGCTCTCTTTTCACTGAATCTTTAAACATCGGTAAGGAAAGCATACAGTCACTTGGCATTTAATTCGATACGCTTGACTAAAGCTAAAGTTCTAATACACCTCTAAAATACATAAATAGATAGATTGCTTTTATTAATATGTTCTAAGCTGCTCGTGGTGCTGTGTTCAGTCTTTCTGATATTTAACATCTGCATTAATATCATAAAAATCTATTTTCAGCATATACTTTAAAGCGCCTTTGTTTCGGAAGCATGTAACACAGATACAACTGGGCGTCACATCTCATGCACGCTCTATTTCCCATCATGAAACAGAAGCTTGATACCTCAAAGCAAGCGATACGTATTTCATATATCAGAAACCAGCAACGCCTATAGCTTTGTTCACGTTGCCTCATTGTGTCTCTAACGTGCAGTCTAGAGACTTGACACCGCTGTGACACTTCCCTGGCGACCTCCGTTACAAACACCGCTCTGAACTCTTGTCACTCGGCCACACACACACACACACTGTACCTTTCAGCACATTGCTTCTGGTCTCCTGGGGTTACCGGTGTGCATCCCCCTGTTCTGTTGCCGAATTAGCGGCGCCATTGCTCACACGGGTGGATTACAGGGTCTGCTTCTGCCCCTGTCTCTCAAGCAGCTTTCCTTTTCAAGTGACAGAGTGGAAATTGGTGCTGCTGGAGCAAGGAAAACGCTAGATTGAGTAATTCTCTGGTTGAAAGAAGGCATCTATTGATTTTGAAACCTGAGTACACAGCAAAGACTAATCGAGAGAGAGGGAGAGACGAGAGCGGTAAAATGACTAAGGAAAGGGCCTGATGTAGTGGAGACCAGACCTCTTTAGGTTTTTATCTCTGTTATGACGCGGTCCATTAATTTTTGCACACGTTTTATTGTCACTGAGCAATGTTTGTACTGTAAGCATATTGCCGGGACGCCTATTGTGCAAACGCAGTCACTGAAATTACATCCAGCACATGTTTGTCTTTGCAGGTCCAACCAATGTGGAAGACCCCGTTCAGCTGCTGATGAAGGATGCAGGTCAGTGGAAGGCTCACCCACTCTCTCTGCTATTTATCAAAGTTAGAGATATTTAATCCTTAACTATAAACGTGAAGGTTGGCATATTTGCATTGTTTTTTAAACTCTCCTACCATAATCCCAGGCAATGCAAACAGATGGAGAGCAGTGTGAATTGAGACATATTTACACAGAGACAGATTTGATGCATAACAATAATTTTGGGGCTAAGATATTAAGTCTAAACTCAATCACGTGAAAACCCTAGTTGTGCTAATAGACTGGCTTTTTGGGTTGCGTTTTTACAACGTGATCCATCCTTGCCATTTTCCCCTCTCGTACTCAAACTTGTTTTTTTTTCCTCACTCACTTAAAGTGCTTCTTTCTCTTATCTGTGCCTCCCTTTTCGTATTTATAACTCTTTGGCAGGCCAGGGCTGCCACTCTGGTGGTTTTATGGTTCATACAGCTAAATCACTGCTCGCTAAAAGGGGCCTCTCTGTTGAAGCTTGTTGCCTGTAGAGATCTCAGCAGCCTGTTGACAGTGTAGATAAAACGGCGCACACCACTGGGATGATGAAGCTGCGCTGTGGCAGAAGCAAGCGGCGGCAGAAAATTGTGGTTGCGAGAGCGAAAGCTGCTTCAACAGCCGAAGGGTGTCTTAATAAGAAAATAAATAACTCAATAATTACAATAGCGGTAATGTAGCTATCATCTGAGACTGCGGTCGTGCTGCTTCGAAAATAGTGTTCCTCACTGTATGCCTGCACTTGCGGCAGTGAGCCGAAGACTGTAACAGACACGTTAATTCATCACACAGTATGTGCTATAGGCATTTCTCATATGTAGCAGACAGTGCTCCTCTTATAGGTGACAAATGGCTGTGGCATTTACCCAACCATGATATTGGCTTCTAGCTATGTTTGTAGTCTTTGTTGCTGCAGACATCCATGAGGTGGATATTTGTAGCTCCTATATTTGTTGTTTTAATACTACAGCAGCATCAGCTTCTTCTTTCTGAAATATTTTGCTTTATTATTAGCCCATGGAGATGCCTTTTTGAACTACAAAAACATACATCTAATGTTGAGGGAGCCAGAGTAATATACTGCAACAATATAATGTATAATAAAACAACACACAAAACAAGCTGCTAATGAGGAATAAAGGATAGTGAGGATTAGCTGCCTTTTCCGTCCACTCTTCCCTCTGAGGAGGAAAGGAAGCACACGTCGCTGCTATATGGAGTTTCCAATCTCCTGTCAGATGTATTTATGTATAAATAGTACCTCCTTAAAGGTTTTTGTGATGAGACAAAGACTTCTGCTGTCACACTTTTTGACTCCGTCTGTCCTGCTCCTCCTCTCATCTACCCATCTTTTTGTCACGATAAATGACGGAAGAAATTTCTGAGGTCCTCAGCTGCTCCATTTAACTTTTTTGGATTATTCTGCCGAGAGACGGCTACTGTCTGCTGCTGTTTTACATCTCTCCCTCGCTTTCTCTGCTTCGGGTTTTCAATCTCGCACACATAATCACACACTCTCAGACATTACCACCCGATGTACTCTTGCCCACCGCCAGCCTTGCATAATACTTGAAATTAAAGTAATGGAAAAAAATCTGTCCCTGTCCCATTACATCTTCTTCCTTCTCTGTCTTTGTTCTTTTCCTCGCACTCTTGTTCCCTTTCTTTTTTGTCATTCTAAAAATTCATTACTTTTGAAGATAAAGTATAAATAGTAGCAGGCAACAGCTCTTCTTCTTGTATTGATTGTGTCCCTTTTATCTCTCTGTATTATATTGTTCTCATACTGTCACCTTTTTTCTAATCTAATCATTTTCTTTTTCTTTTTATGGCTCCTCTACATTTCCTCTACATTTTATTTTATTTTTTTGTCACTATCACACTCCTGTTTCCCTGAAGAGCACCTTTATGTGTTATTGTTCCGTTATCTCGTTGTTCCTAATGTACTATATAGTGTAGCAACAGCTGTATTTGTTTTATATGGGTCACGTTATGTTTTGATTGCAGATTGTATTGTAAGTTTGTCTCTTGTTTTATTGCACATCGGAGCCCAATTTGAAAGAAGTTGTATCCAGATGAAACATTTTAAACATTGAAGTAAAAACCAAAAAGTTATGCAGTGGACTGTGATTAAAAATAGACTCTTGTTTTACTGTTTTTAAGTGTATCTCATGAGTTTTCCAAAGTTTAACTTAATCTACAGATTTCTTTCAGGTATACTCTACCTGTTATTAGTTTAACATTCTTTTTGTTAACACTGCGACTAACTGATTTTGACTTTCTGCCCGTGCTTGTTTTGCTTGCAGTGTACAACGCAGTGGGACTGGCAGCGTATGAATTGTTTGACAATGTGGATTTTGACCAGTGGTTCAAGAATCAGCTTCTTGGAGAGCTGCAAGTCAGCCATCACAGGTACCGTGCTGGAAGTTCTGCACTTCTTTTTCTGTTTACTCGTTTCTCTTTTCTGTGATGTTTTTATGTTTTGCAGTGTCATGGAATGCATACTTAGGTAAAAAGTACCAGCTGCACCTCAACTAAATCAAATCTAATCAAATCAGGTTTATTGCCATTTTGCTGTACATACACAGTAGTACAGGCAAGATGAGAGAGCGTTTCTTCAGGATTATTCAACCAGCAAGTTTTGCAGAATGCACGTCTGGGATAAGACACTGAACGTTCACTGTTGCTGCCTCCTGAAGGGGGCGCTGCATCTATGTCATTCGTTGAACATGGCGAACCTCTTTAGGTCGTGGTAGGCCTTCAGGGACACAAAGATACACACGATGGTGTGACGATGGGGAAGCTGCAGATGCTGCCCAGAGCTAGCTGTCTGTCTGTCTGCATCCCCTCCAGCTGTATGTCCGTCTGGGATGTTGTCATGTTTCTGTTAAAGCAGACACACAGCAGTCCCTCCACTCTCTGAGGGTTTCTCTCAGCAAACGTAGCTCGTCCAGCTTGTTGTGGAGGGAGCGGACATTGGAGGGTAGGAGGACGGTCCTGCTGGTCTGGAGGGGTTAGCCTTTAGCCTAGCATGGATCCGGGCTCTCTTCCTCCTCCTTTGTTTTTGTACCGTTCGCACTTCCTTCTCTTTCGGGTAACTGCCGGCGTAGTCTCTGATCGGACTCTGTGTTGGTGTAGTTTGTCCAAATCACAACCGATCGACGCAATTCCAGCGCCGTTCACTGTCCGCCCAGCAACGTCTCCTAGCCGCAAGTTTTGCAGAATGAACATCTGGGATAGACAAAACAATCAAAACGTTCACTTTCGTCGTCTCTTGAAGTGGTTGCTGCATCTATGCGCACCGCCATCACCATGGCAACATGGAGAAAACTAGGAGATTGGGAACACTTGCCACCCGACAGTCCCCTTCATAACACCCCACGGTGTTTATGTTCAACGTATTAATGGATGAGCAACATTATAGCACACTTAAATTGCTTTTGGCCCACATCATCTATCAACAGAATTAATAGGCTTCTATAGGGACCGTTTTTATTTTTTATTTTTTGCAGGGTTACTGAATTGAACTGCATATTTTGTGTTGGGTTTTATATATATATTTTTTCTAACAGTGATATACTTTGTTTACAAGCTGGTGACTGATTGCGTCCAGCTCATATTATTATTCTCCCCGGGGTTTAAAGTTAAACTGGAAGCTGCTCAGTAGTTTAAATTGCCGTGTGTTTTACTGTATGTGCGCTCAATTTCAGACATTAGTGTTGTCTGAAATGTTGCATAGTTAACATTCCTTCCAGTGTAACTCAAGTTAATTAACTATTAACCTCTCTCCAGCTATCAATGGCAGTCGGTAGCACAGTGAATGCCAAAAAGCTCATAAGTAACCAGCTAATACTTTCAATTTCTGCCACGGTCTCATTAACAACTGCCGCATGTATCCACACAATCACTCTCCAAGCAGCAGCCAAACATGTCACAACATTAGCAGCCAGGCATACTAATACATAGAAAATAGAAAAATAGTTGTGTGAACTGGGAACAAACCTGGTCACGGGCGCAAATTGGTAGTAAACAGTGAGCTGCCGGATGAAAAGAGAGAGAGAGTGGCCAGAGGTGAGGTGGTGTGAGTGAAATATAGAACAAAGAAGTGCCCTGCACACACACACAGAGCCCAAGACGACCAAAAACAAAAAGCCCGCAGCGCTCAGAAGGTTGGCCGCTCGGGTTGATGCTGACGTCAGAGTGCAGGCACGCTGATATCACTGCGGCCCTGCTCCCACACGGGGCAGAAGCCAGTAACCTGCCCACTTCTACCTGAGGCCTTTTTCCTTTGTTCATTTTTATATTTTTTTTAAAGCTAGTTCACCTCCTCGCCCCTATTTTGTTTATGTTTGGTCCAAATTTTCCCTCACGTTTTGTGTTTGAACAAGTGAAACTCATTGAAGCACAATGCAAAAAAAGACTAGAGATGTCATCCTCGGCTTGAACCTTCTCAGAAATGCGTCCAAATGATCTAACAGCACAGTGATGCGGTCAGATGGCAGATCTGTTGCACTCATGTGAACACACATTTTTTTTAAAACTCAGCTCCTCCAGTATCGGATGAAAAAAAAACAGAGGGGGACTGATGAATGCAGTTAACACTGACAAGTAGAGCAATGACAAGAACCCAGTTTAAAAACCCTGTTGGCTTCGGCTCAAAAAAAAAAAGACGTCCCGTGTCTCTTGTCACACTTACGCTTCAGATGCTGAGAAATGGAGCGCTGATTCGCATAACTTCTTAATACTTCTGAGCCTGTTAACTAGCAAATTGATTAAATATTTGATAAGATGTAGTTGTGGAGTTGGCTTTAAAATATAATGCAGGTCTTGTGTTGATAGCAATGAAAGAATGTCACCCCAATACGGCAGCCTGATAGTAACTGTTGTGCAAAATAAATCCATTATTAGTTTCTCCTCGGTGAAATTGTTGATCATGAAAAATTAACGCTAGTCTTATCCAGTCAGTTGAAGTGCTTAAACAACTGAGGTGTCCTCAGATGATAACCTATTGGTTTGTGTTCTGGATATTTATTTTTTTTTACATTTAATAACGCCAAGGTTATAGTTGCATGAGTGATAGCGGATAAACTTTTCAACTCCCATTGATTTTTGTGTTCCGGGGTGCTACATGAAGCTGTGTTTCTGTCAGATTTTTAGATGTTTCCACAGTCGTTTGAAGAGGCTTCTGCTGTGGGAGTGTAGCGTCAGCATGGATGTTAAAGTGGGGACATGTTTGATGTCCCTCACTGGGGGGAGTTCCTTTCTTCTCTAGCAGTCAAAGCCATGCGTTTTCTTGTGCATGTGTGTGTGGTATGTATGTATTCGCGTACGTGTGCTTGCAGACTTACTTGCATGCATAAGCGCGCTAATCTTCACACTGCTAGCGTGCCGCCTCGTTTTACATTCTGTCACAATTCAGTTTCTCAACTCTCAGCGGAGTACATTGGAAACAAGAATGTAGTTCCTCAGATAGGTGAGACTTACAAAACCAAAGTTTTCACTAAGGTGGCTGTCTTTTTTTTTTTAAAGATTATTTTTCTGGCGTTATTGTCTTTATTAGTCAGGACAGTGAGAGAGTGAGACAGGAAAGGGGGGAGAAGAATGGGGAGAGACTTTGCAGCAAACTGTCGTGAGCGGGAGTCGAACTCACGAACGGCACGCCGGGGAACTATAGCCCCTGTTCATGGGTCGCCCAGGTGGCTGTCTTTTAACCCGTTTTATCACCATGTTATAAGTTGCTAATGCAGCACAGCTAACCTGCTCTGGAGGAGGTTATGCTCAAAGTTTAGGATTTAAATCTGCTGGAAGAATTGCCAGCCTTTCACAAATCCTTTCTCTGAGTGGTGTAGATTCTCAGCTGAGGGAATATGTTATATTTGCAAACCTGTTTTGCCGCATGTTGCAAAACAAAAAAAAAAAACTGAACAAAGCTGTGCAGCCACACCAGGCAAAATGCATGTTTCACATCGCCCCGCTAAAGCACATGCGTTCCTGTGCAGTCGGCGATGCAGAAAATGCGTCAATATGTTGCTGCCAAGTCCGTTTTACTCTCCTGGTATTGCAGCTAATACACCAGAGATGAGAACATTGATTAGTCTTTTGGTTTTCATTACAGAGAATATTTATTAAAAAATAAATAAATAAAAAATCACTGTGATTAAGCCAAAAAATTTAAGTGATTTCCTTGCATCCATCGCGATGGGATCGATCTAAATGCACTTACTGAATATCGTCTTTAAATGAGCAAAGTTTAATGAGTAGTGTCACTTTAGCAATAAGCGGCTTCACTGAGTGTCCACTGAGCGGTAAAATCAGTACATTTAAGCTCACATGATGAACCGTTTCCCACCAGCGTTCAGCTTTTGCATGTTTTGCAGGAGCAGCACTTTTTACTATGATATTTTACAACCTGTCCCCCTCTCCTCTGCTCAAACTGTATCTTATCTAAAACCACTTATTAAAGCAGCGTCTTTTGAAGCACAGTCAGATCACATTAAACCCAATTTCACCTCCACATGCTGCAATCCGTATACTTTGAAATTGAAATGATCTGTATGCGCTGCGGTTTTACTTTACGTACTGTGGATCTGAACCACGCTGTTTTAACAGTAGATGCATTGTGCGGTGTACACTCAGTGACCATGGAGTAACAAACACCTGTTCCATACCGCGGAGACTCACATTTGAAAGAGCTGTCACACTTGGGGTCCTGTTGTGCTTTTGGTATCAAAGCGAGCCATGCCGACATCACTACTTTACATAACTGTCCCGGGTGTATAAGTGGATGTTCCTGTTTACTAAATCTGCTTTTAAGTTCATCCCCAAAGGTGGCCAGGTGGATTGATACTGGGAGCTTGGTGAGGTCATGAAGGGCGTTCTCAAAAGCAGGGGCGGCTTGACAGTTGAGGCTCCGGGTTGCTAATCAGAAGGTCAGAGGTTCAAGCCCCAGCACGGCCAAACTGCCACTTTTGGGAACTTGAGCAAGGCCCTTAATGCTATCTGTTGAAAGGGTGACTTATCATAACTGACCCTGCGCTCTGACCCTCACTTGGATATGCACAAAGAGAATTTCACAGTGCCGCAATGCATTTGTAAAAATAAAGGCTTTCTCTTATGTTGTAATAGCCTGTGCCATCCGAGTTAAGTTTTTGTGTTCTGCTACATTCAGCATCTGATTGCAGTCTATTTATATACCTATTATGCAAACAGAGAAGAGTCACTGAGTGTACATTTTACAAAAAAGACAAAGGGTGCACTTTTACACATTACCGAAAGCATAATGTTTTTATGTTCTCTGTAAGTTTGTCCATCCATCCCTGCTTCTCATTCTCATGAAGCAAAATCTCTCAAATTTTCAAATTTGGCACAAACACAGACTTCAATTCTGGAGGTTAAAGGTCACTGTGAACTTC